CAAACTCTGCAGGACAATGGCCCTCCAGGACTGAGTTTGGAGACCCCTGATATAAACAATCAGGCACTTGAGGTTTGCTATTCATTATATTTCACTTTATGTGAATTTATCGAATACTTAATAAATTTTTTAATAAGGACTTATGCTTGCACTTTACTTTATCGTATGTGTATGTACAATGTACTTACCTAAAAAGGAATGGGTAATATAAGGTAACTAAATGGGTTAAGGTTAGGTTTAGGGGTAGCTTCAGGGTTACCTAGTTATTACCAAGTTTTTGTAATCACAATATTATGTACAAAGTATGTACATGCAGAACAGGACTATAAAATAAAGTGGTACCGGACTTATCCTCGATTGATTTCACAGGAAAACACTGAACTATTACTGTAAAATTATTATGAAATAATGGCAAGTTTATAGTTTACAGTAATAATATTGATATAATTCCATAAAATATCTGTTTAGCATGGATAGCAGTCAAACTAGATATATGACAATTATAAGCAAAGTACAGAATATTTACAAAAGATAATGTTGGAGCAAGTTAATTATAAGAATTGGCCATACAGGCTGTTAATTTCCTCAAACAGTTTCTGCCAACTGTGCTGCAACAGGATCCTGGTGAGCAGATTACATAAAACTCAGCGTCAGAGGCCTTTGATGGTTCCGTTGCGGCTGATCCGTCTCTTTGAGTTTTCAGCTGTGAAATTCCTGTCTGCTTAGAGAATGTGACAAATCTGCGTCTCAGTTGTTGGGCGCAAGAGTTTGTGTCTTACACGCGTGCTGGGGGCAAAGGTCAATGCCCAAAGTCCTTCCTCTGTGCGTCCCAACAAGCCAGAAGATATGTCGGTTGTGCCTGTTAACCTGCAGTTGAAGATGGGGGGAAAACCTGATCAGTGCATGTCTGCAAAGATGGATTATAGTGCAGGTCAGTGGGGCCAGTATCTCCTGGAAGGGGCTTCCAGCTGAGAGGCTCAAACCTGGAAACAAGCCACTGCAATGCAAAACTGATACAGACAGATGGACAGCGCTGGAGTCTGTGCCAGTGACTATTGCCACAAAGTGAAGTAAGAAATCAGAAATCATATCAGTTGCTGGCCCTTCCTCAACACTATCAGTGCCTGCTGAACATTTTAATGCTGCTTTGATGTTTTATACTAGTCATGGTACATTGAATAGTTCTATAAATGTTATACAAATAAGTCAGAAAATATAAGCACAAGTTATTAAATATGAAAATTATAAGTGTTGTTTTGGCAACAATTAGTTAAAGAACTACAATAACTTACTTGAAATCAATAAAAACTAAAAATTTGTAAACCTTAAATGGTAATATTTAAAAAGGTAAACTAAAACTAATAAAAATGACTAAATCTTATTAGAAATGCAACAAAACAAGAGAAAAAGAAAGAAAATATAAAAAGAAAAGCTAATTCAACATATGAATGTAAACTATAATAGTATAAATAAATATAATAGTATATATATATAAATATATATACTGTATATATAAACTGATATATAAATGATACTAAAATAACGCCACCCCAAAAATGAAAGTTCTGCCATTATTTACTAACCCTCATGTCAATTCCAAACCTGTATGACTTTCTTTCTTCTGTGGAAAAAAACATTCTTCAAAATATCTTCTTTTGTGTTCAACAAAACGAAAGAGAGAAAGCCATACAAAGTTGGAAGGACATGAGCATGAGTAAATGATGACAACATTTTGATTTTTCCTTTTAAATGCATGGCGGAAAATTCAGTGAGAATGAATTGTGCCCAGTATTTATTATTTAAAGGGGTCATATGATGC